GAGTTTCAGCTGTTCCAGGAGAGCACTGACCAACAATACTCCAAGGGAAAAGACACTGCTGACCTCGGCATTAGGATGTACGTTACACCCCCCCCACCCGGGCTCTGCAGCGCACAGACATGATGCACGCTGAGTGCTTTTCTGAGAATGTAACAGTGAGAATTAAGAAACTCCACAAGTTAACTCGAGTGGGAACACACAGCCACGCAAGTTAGTCCATGCACCAGTAGCTGATGGGCCACAGAATGAGATGAAAAGTGTTAATAGGTACAGAAAAGGGACAACTATAGAGTTTCAATTCCACTGCTGTCAGGTGAAAATGGCCTATCATTGGATAACGACTGCCTCGTTCCTGCCCGAGACAATCAGGAGCCAATCACTCCAAATTTAACCTTTGCCGTCAACTAGATACACATACAAGTGCATGCGCGAGTGTTGCACAAGAGCATGTGAGAGCCTGCCTGGGCATACAACGGTGGAATTATAGAGTCAATGGAGAAAACGGACTTGAGCGGTGCTGCATTTAGGGTTTTTTTTCTTTTCATTAAAGAAGTCAGGTAACAGAAAAAGAGATAGATGAGGTTGGGACTGATCTAATCACCGCAGCTGTGGCTCGAGAACAAACAGCAGAGGAAGCACTCGAGGTTCCCGGGTCCTTCATGAGTCGAGCGAATGGCAATAGAGATCAGCCGTCATTATTTGGCAAACATAGCACAATTGATTGGTTTACACAGAGCGGGACGCAGCCCGCCCGGGCCGGCTGCCACGCGTAAAATTGACGCCCAGCTGCATATAAAGACGTAGGGACATGCAGGCCAATGAAAGAAAGGGGGAAGTATAAATGGGCGGAAATTGAGTCTGCACGGAAGGGGGTCATGCTGGGTACATGTACATACATGTATATAATAGTTTACTTGAGGAATGAAAGGAAAGGGGTGCGCATAATATCCACAAGCAATACACGGGAAATACTCGGGACTACAGGGATCTGATTTCCTGCTTTAGTGTCCCTAATCTGTCTAATCTGTCTTGAAACTGCAGCCCAGAAGCTTATTAAAACGACTTGTTGATTTCATGGTGTACATCTCAAGAGATAAGCCTTCATGCAAGGCCAATTACATATTCTGCAGGTCATTTGCACTGTGCACATGTACAATGAAATACCTGTACCTGCATCTCATCACCTGGACTCTCAGGGTGATCACCATATTTCTCCACAGAGTCCACCGATCCAAAACCAACATCTTTGCCCGAAACTTAGAGCACTTTAAGCTGTACATGTTGGACATGCTCACATATGACAGTGTTCATACCAGTATTATACGTACAAGCGAGGGTGTGTCTTTGAACTTGGAAACAATTGGACTCTAACAGAAACTTGCTGCATGAGCGTGTACATGTACAATGTATATGTATGTTAGGTTTGTTCATGTACATGTTTGGCACAGAGTGCTGGATAGCACGTAACCAATTTATTTTGAAATGTATCGTCTTCAAATGTGTGCCGGGCATGTTAACGAACTCAGTTTAAAATACTGCTCACCATTGGGGTTTTCCTTTTTGCCCGTGATGGTGCACTTCAACTCAAGGAAGGATTAAGGCGGTGTTTTCTTTTATATTCTCTTTAATTTCAGTTTTCACTTTGTCTATTAATTTATTTTGTAATTTGGGGGATATTCTTCGAATCCTAATAACTTGATGTTATTAGAAGTTGAAAGAATTTCTACTTATACATGTACATGTAGATGTATACATGTATTTTTCTGGGTTTTTTTTTAGTTTCTGGTAGAAAGTTGATTTTCTCAATCCTAAAGTGCTTTCTGTTGGCATATTCCCAAGAACTCGCTGCAGTGTTTCCAACTCGAGTTGGAAAGACTTGGGTACATGTGTAGAGGGGGAGTCTTGAATGTCTTGTGTGGGGGGGCATGTGCGGGGGATTGAGCATACTCTTGAGTGTGGGTAGAGCAATTTCTCTTTAGCAAATTCAAACCACAGTTAATATTTGTCCATTTCAAAACTCATCAAGTTAAGAACTGACAGCTATCGGTAAGTGCCGTGTACAGGTAGAGTTAATATTTATACTTCAGTCTTGTATTAACTGATTTTCCATTATTTAACATCCAACTCTTAAGCTAGGGCAATGTGAAGTCCTGTCCTACATTGCAAATGGGATGGCTGAGAGGCCAGCACAATGTCAGGCTCATTAATCCAATTAGACTCTGTTATTAATCTTGATACATCGCTTTCTGCCCCGTCAGCTGATATAACCTACTTCTTGCTGAGGTACAACGTTCATCCAATCCTTCGTAACCTAAATATATTTTTCTAAAGTGATTTCTCTATAGTCTCAGCACAGCTGGGGCCAAACTTCAACATCATCACCCGCACTGTGTGGAAAATGGAGTTACAAAGTCTGACAAGATGACATGGAGAAATGAACATACTACGAAACATCCTGATCAATTGAAGGGGAAATATCATTTGTGCGAAACAAAACTTGTGTTTACACGTACATTTAAATCTCAAATGTGCCCAAGAAAATAAATCAACCCCCTCCCCCAAAACAAAAGCAAACCACACCCCCAAAAACACAGTGTTAATAACTCTTACAAGTGCAATACAATATGCAAGCATCAGTGAAAAGGTGTCGCAATTTCCATTTCTGATTTCTGGCTTTCTGGGCTAACGGCAAACTGTCAGATGGTTAGACCCTAGCTCCCCCTTCTAGGCATATATATCCCAGCCAAACACGAAATGGGGGACGCCGCACTGCATACACCATACATCTTGTAATGCACCACAGGCAAAATTGAGGCGACAGATTTCTTTGCACTTGAGTTGTCCGCCAACGGTGCCGTGTACGGTACAGGAGACAGATATTGATCAATATGTTATCGAACAATAGCATTTTGACGGCAAGGATAATTCATTGCCTTATATACATGTACATGTACGTGTACATATGCATGCAGTACCGGTATGTACATACATGTACATGTACATTAGGTTGTTGCACACAAATACAGGCATGTACATGTAATCATGCACCTAAAGGGAAAGTGAATGTTAATCATGGTACATGTAGAAATAAGTGGCGTGTGTTATACTCGTGCTTTAAAACACGAATTCTTTTATAAATGCACAGTACAAAATGTACAAAACGTACATGTATGACTAATCTACATGTATCACCATTCAATCACACTTTATACTGCAAGTTCATGCGCGAGTAAACAGTTCAAAGCTGCAACAAACCACAACTCTTAGAGCTTCAAGACTTAACACAGGGACTTTCAGATACTGTATATTATCACTAGGGGGGCTTATCATCAGTGTCTATTAGCCCCGATGCACCTGCAACTAACAATATACATGTACCAGTAGTTGCAGTACTGAAACCAAAGCAGAGTAAACATGCCTTGGCGGACTGGAAAAATTTACATTTATGCCCCCTCCCCAACCAAGACCTGGATGATCCACCTCTTGCAACATTTTGTGGTATTCCGAGAGTCATCATATATGTACAGGTAATTGTTCAAGTGGTACATGCAGCGGCCTCCGAAACATACTCGTGTGTTGATAAATGTGAGTATGCAAATTTTATGCGACCTCACACGCACTACCCAATCATAGACTTCAGTAACTTCAACATCATTTCAAGCAGAGATGTGATAAAATATTTAATTGGTTGATACCGGTACATGTACGTGTAAGTGTCAGGTTACCATTTCAGTACGGGAATTACATGTACATGTACATGTGCATGTATGTCAGCTGTATGTATACATGTGTGGTACAACATCAACTGACAGTGTTTCTGTGCAGGTGTATACGGTAGAATCCAGAAGCGGGCCTTTGTGCCACACCTTGGAAAGTGTCCCACTATAAAGACAAACAAACAATTTCTCGTCTTG